TCGAGGTGCGGCCTCACCAGTGCCGAGTTTACCAAGTACCGATCGGTGTCTGCCCCATGGGGGGGGTGCGGAGTGACGGAGGCTGACGCTGCCGTGAGTGGTTGCCACATCTGTGACCTTTATAAAACTCTCATGGCGACAGCAGTACAAGCAATAGAAAGAACATCTCTTATACACATCTGAATAAATACAGCCTGCGCCCTGTGGGCACAGCCGGGGATGGGGGGAAGCAGGGCAGCGTGAGCTACACATGCAGCGACGGGACAATCACAAGCGGCCGTGACAACACAGAGACGCGTGTAGAGATTTGCTCAGGCCAGGCTCCGGCCCTCGGAGAGCTCAGGGAGGCATCGACAGGACGCGAAATGTGTGGGAAGACGCCAGGGCAGCCCACCAGAGGCGGGGAGGCTGGCAGACGCACACTCCCCCCCAGCAGGCACGGAGCTCTTCTCGGCAGAAGCAGGCAGGGTAGCCCAGCTACATTTCTGTTTCTGCTAAGAGGCTGTCACCGAGCCCTGACGTCATCAGGACCATCTGGGAGCTGGAATCTGTGGCGAGAGAGGGAGAAAACCATGAGCTGTTTGGGCTCCTGGAGAGCACGGGGCTCTACTCCAGATCCAGAGGTGAGGACGAGGAATTCAGAGCGCTGCGGGGTGGGAAGCGAACTGCTGAGAGGATCGTGAGATTAAGTAGTAACTAGGTCTACTCTGGCCACACAGCAGAACAGAATCAATGTTTGGGGAGGGGGGAAGGTGCAGACAGCAGCAAGAGCCCAGGGTGGGGATCTGCATTTATTATCTTGGCTGTCAAGAGGAACATCAGGGCTGAACACTCCCCACATACACTCGCAGGTGATACTGGTCGTGCTGACCCAGCCGAGCCCTGCGCAGACCTTTAAATCTGCACTCACCGAGGGTCTTCTCAGCTCGAGAGACAGCGGCCAGGTGGGACTGGCTGGCAGGCTGCAAGCCAACCAAACCCACGTAGGGTGGTGGTGTTGCCTTCCCAAGAGCAGGGAACGTAGCGGGCAAGCAGCCTTTTTATGGCAGGCGGAGGCC